CAGATGAACTGCCCCTGTTATACAGGATCAGCGGGAAAGTATATCAAACATTGGGGTCAGACGTTATACAAGTTCCTGTTTTTAAAAGCAGCCAAACAATTCCAGGTTCCTCAGAGTCTTCTGGCTTCATGGGTCCATCCACCCAGTTGGTATTTCCTCCACCCTGCCACTACCACTCAAGACCCAGCCTTCCTAATTTGGCACCATCTAGAGGTAACTACCACTCCCATGATCCCCATGTGGTATGGGGGCTCAGAAGGCTTCTTCAGCAATTCCCCAAGAGAATCGATCCCAACAGCAAGACACTCAACAAATGGTGACAGTACTGTTGACAAGACTTGGTAACCCATGCTTCCAGTTTCACAGTGATGTTCCCTCCACCAGCCTGGCTCTAACGAATGAAGACCCAAGCCCTCTGTGCTCAAAAGTCACGTAGCAACTTCCATACTCACAGTGGGTTGCCAGACTTGGTGGCATCTCGCTCCTGCTTCTTGATCTGCTTTGCTTTGATGCGAGCTTCTGCTTTCTCCAGCTTCTTGGTATTCACCATCTGCAGCACAGAAGACCGCAAACATCAGAAGTGCTCATCATCTCCAAAAGAAACAGCTCACTTGCTTGGGCCAGCAGCCCCTGCTGAATTCGCTGGCCTGATTATTTCCCTTACTACAATATTTATCTCCTGCTCCAGGTCTAAGGATCTCATGGGGAGGTACAAGCAAATAACGATGTTATGACCCCATTTCCATCCAACAACAACACACTATAGAGTGGGACACACTGGATCGGCAAAACAGGACCCAACAGCCACATGCAGATCCTATGACTGTCTTGGCATCCCAGCTTCTCCAGATTCCCTCCCGGTTGCTTATTTTTTTAATTTGGCCCCAAATATCTTTCTCCTTGCTCCTGGATGCCTCTTAAGAATGGCAGTTTTGTGGTAAAACAGTGGCCAGCGCCAACTGAACTCCTGAAACTCAAAAAAGCATAATCTCTTCTGAAATAAAACAGAGAAGGTAATGAAACAGGAAGCGTCCAAAGCAGGAGGAGACAACTTGGGTGGATCTGGGAACAATTTTAGCTTTTTGCTTCCTGAAGCATCCCAGAGCTGCAAAGATGACAGAAGAAGAAGGAAGAGGGGTGTAAAAGTGTGAGGAGGACTTTCAGATTCAAAAGGTATCCCCCCCCCAGTCCTGGAGGCCCTCAACAGCAGCCATTCACCCTCTCTCTCTTTTTGCCACAAAACCAGCCTTCATGAGCCATGGATCATCTCAGAGCAGCAATTAACCCATCCCTGCTTTCAAGAGTCCGAGGATCCCTGCCACTCCCGCAGTACCACCTGAGTTGCTTTTAGCCAACAATCACTCAGGCCTTTCAGCTCTGAAATTCACTTACCGAATTCTGGTCTCTCTTCAGCAGCAGCCCCGGCAGCATTTCCAAGCCGGACTCTGTAAGCAAAGGGAGACAGTGAAACACCCAGCCCAGCAACACCTAACATCAAGAGAAATCCCTTCCCTGCTGGAAGGGAAGGGAAGGCTGGAAAGAAGGATGGGGTGACTGGAAACCTTTGTTCACGGACTCTCTTCCACTTCACTTGCCCTTTCACAGTGCCTGAACTAAAATAAGAACAGCTTTTTCTAACTTGGTTGATGGCCATGGTGGCTGGAGAAGAAGGGAGGTGCCAGCCGAAACATCTGGTGAGCCAATCACGCCCTCAGTCCTGACTTAAACTGAGTTGCATGACCTTTGCTTTGAGGTACAAGGGTCAATATATTGTGATTCAGATGCCTGTACCATATACAGTCAGTCCCAGCATTTCACTGATACAGTTCCATTTTATATAATGGATACTTTGGGTAGAGTGGGCGGCATATTA